TCTTTTGTTTTAACACAATCTGACCTGAAAGAGCTGACTTAAGGCCGACACACAATACAGGATTTTTCGGACTTGAACGATTTTTAAACGTGCGACAAAAGCGGACACCACAGACACAAGGAGAATCTTTTGAGACTTAAAATCTCCGATCGCAAAGACTGCAGTGGGATATGTCGGCAGATCACAAGTTATAAATTATGTTATTAGGTTCTTTTTTCAGACCAAAGGTTTGTTTTCATACCGCTCACAACTTTATAACTTGTGGTCCGATGAGGTTCATTTGGTCTTCTGATAATTTATGTTATTAGGTTCTTTTTTCAGACCAAAGGTTTGTTTTCATACCTGACAGTTTCGACTGCTAACTACGGTCTATCTCAGAGTGGTCACGGGATATTGCTGTGACGTGTCCGGTCAGCTGATTTATACAGGTTTTTTCGCTGTCTTCCTACCGGTCGGAGCAGGACGACAGCGCCATCTGCAGTCCGACTTCCTCTGAACAGTATCCCAGGTGTGTGAGAGTAAAAAAAACCCACCGGTAGGAAGACAGCGCCAAAACCTGTATAAATCAGCTGACCGACACGTCACAGCAACATCACGTGACTCTGAGGAAGACCGCTAGTGAGCAGTCGAAACTGTCAGGCATGAAAACAAACCTTTGGTCTGAAAAAAGAAGCTAATAACATAAATTATCGGAAGACCAAATGAACCTCATCGGACCACAAGTTATAAAGTTTTGAGCGTGATTGTGTCTGCTGTTTCCTGTCTATATTAAAACCACTCGCTTTGAGATTCTGAAGTGTTCAGAGTCAAAACTGAGTTATTATTTGTGAAATGTGGTGCAAAACTTCAGATACATAATTTTTAAAGCATGAAAGATTGGCGATAAAGTACACTAGAAGTAGAGTCACTATCACTAATCGGCAGCTTCACCTTGATCCGTGCGCAGTGTGGATGTAAACAGACACATGTGAGGAACTACTCTGGCCTTTTTACTTTTAAATAACGCCTCAAACTGGACTAATAGCGCGGTTTTGTGGACTGAATGTCATTATTTGCGGAGGACAATTTCTATGGATAATGTGGATGAGATGCTGCACTTTAAATTTAACACTTTACGAGAGGTGAGTAATAAAGTCTTCTCATTAGGGATGTAGCAATAAGTAAGTAAATAAGTAAGTCTTTATTTATATAGCTCTTTCACAGACATTTTCTGTCCCCAAAGACGCTTTACAGAGCATTATTCAGCATTCATTCATACAGCATTAACCAAAAAATAACCAAAATATCATTATATCATATTGTCAAAAGTTTCTCAATAATATCGTGGACCATCACAATATATCGAATCACAAGTGTCTTTGCTCAAATTCATTGTTATGGTGCAGCTAAAAAAGCAGAGGGAACTACATTGACCATGATCCTTTGCTCAGTTTTGATGCCTACTGCATGAAGAAATAACAGTTCTAAGCACTTTTAAATCTTAGTTCTTTGGATTAAGTCTTGTCAAGGCATTTTAAGAGGAAAAAGTAGCATCTTTACAACTTCGTAAGCCTCCACAAAATATCGTAATAAATATAGTACCATGAGATTTGGATATCGTTACATCCCTACTTCTCATCATTTTCGCTTTATCCCGAGTTTGTATCTTGTACCTCTGTGTCGTCACTTCGTCTGCCCGATGCTCTGTTTTATCGGCTGTTACCTTAGCGCTGCTGATGTTTGGTGGTTATGGTCTGACAATGACACCACACACGAGGAGCAGCGGCTTCATAATCACACACAAAGTTGGGTCATGCCTCCCTAAACTCGGGAAGAAGCAAATCGCAGCCAGAGATTTGTATTTCACACCTAAAATTTGAAAAAAAATTCACCCTCTTGAAAATCAAACACCTTAACAGGACCATGAACACTTCCATTAATCACAAACTCTTGAAAATATGTAGTTTAAATCCATTTTGTATTTTTCTTGGGTTTTGCAGACTGTCTTTAAAACAGTGTGCGCATTTTGTCTCTATCGTAACATTCCACCATAGAGATACATGTAGAACACCCCCTGCATAATGTCACTGCAATGTATCAGTAGTGGGGACCATATGTGAAGAGGAAATAGTCAGAGCTGGACTTGAATTTCCTGACCAGCCAGTCCCTTGTACATTCTGTTTGAATCCAGAAGGGTCTGGAACTGGACTACAGAGCGTGAAAATCCAAACTCGGTCCAAACACTGCCACTAATTTGTAGCATGTGTTGCTCAAATGAGAAAGACATCTCCTCTCCAAAACTCTTGTGACATTCAGAACAAAATATATAAATTCTTTAATCTGAATTATGTAATAGTTTGGTGCTTTGATTGTTGATTCTGTAAAAATCCACGCTGTTTCTCAGTCCTTTATGTTGTTTTTTTCCTCCTTTTTACCTGTAAACTGGCATTTTTATTTTTGTTTTGGTTAATCCGCCTGTCAGTCATGTCTTCTGAAATCAGGGAGACACGATAGAGCCCCAGGTCCAGTCATCTTTGTTAAGTTTTGTTAAGTCAAAGCGTGTGGTTGTGGCTGGTCAGGTACGCCGCTGGGCATAGTGGGGACCGTATATGTAGAGGGGGGTAGTCGGCGCTGGACTTCAAGGGAGAGTCTGGCCACAGCACAAATTGTCATTAAGTATTCATAAGTGAGGTGTAGACATTTGAATGACCTCGTTTGCAAGTGTGTTTTTGCCATTATTTACATTTGCATGGTGCTCTGGGAGTGCTGCACTGCCCTGCCACATGAGCAGTGCCCAGGGCTTTAGAAAACATGCGTGCGTGTGTACATGATTTGCCACTGAAATGTCAAAGTCAAGGCTGCTCATTTGAATACTGCTAAAGATGGCTGAATAACAAAAACAGAGGGGAACTAAGGGGCCTTGTTACCCCATGTGAATCTGCATGAGGCAGCAAGGTAACATACAGTACCACCCTGGTCCCTTGTTAATATAGGTGTGCATAAGGGGCAGCGCTGAGACTAGAGTATTTATAGCAATAGAAAACGCTACAATCCGTTTGATGGTGACTTCGTGTTGATTTTATTGTTGAATTGTTTCCTCGTATCACATTTATATTGGCATTAGTCAGCCTTTTCTCATTACACCCAGCAGCCAGGAACTTGGGTAAATTACTGATTCAAATTTACTAACGGGCAGTGGTAGAGAAAGTACTCAACTTTTGTTAAAGGTGCTTGCGTAATAATTCTAGTTGGCTCCATGGAAGTGTTACTGCTTTGTCTAGATAGGTCCACAGTATAGATTAAACTTGTCTATCACAAAGGAGACAAGCAGGTACCAGCAATATGATACATTACAGTTCAGATCTGTGGAGAGTCGCACCTATTCACAGATCAAATTATTCTAATTTTGAGCAATAGAAACACCAGTAATGAATAGGGATGTAACAAAAACCGAAATATCGTGATATCGTATCATCAAAGTTCTCACAATAATGTCGTGGGCCATCACAATATATCAAATTACAAGTCTCTTTGCTTAAATTAAGAGTTATGGTGCAGCACAAGCTAAAAAAAAAAGACTGAGGGGACTACATAGACCATGATCCTTTGCTCCATTTCAGTGCAGACTACAAGAAGAAATAACAGCTCTAAGCACTTTTAAGTTTTAGTTTGGTTTAAGTCTTGTCAAGGCCTTTTAAGAGGAAAAAGGAGCATATTAGACTCCACAAAATATCACTGATAAATATACTGTGAGATGTATATTGTGTAAATATCGTACCTAGAGATTTGGATATTGTTACATCCCTAATCGTGAGCCTCTCCACCATGTTGTGAGCTTTCCCACAATATCGCAATAAATATCGTATCGTGACATTCATACTGTGACGATATCATATCGTGAGACTTGGATATCATTACGCCCCTAGTAATGAATAAATGCTAGATCAGAGGTCTCCAACCTGTAGCTCATGAGCTACCCGCTCTCTACCCGCTTCAGAGTAACTTGCCCAGCGAATTTGAATTCTGCATATTGTGCTGAAGTAAAATGCTGAAGTAAAATTTGATTAATTACTATTGTAAATGTATTATTTTCATGCCTAACTTTATGCACTGATAAAAGGATAATGGTTTATGTTTTATAGGCATCTGATTGTTCTACGTCTAAAGCTTGCCGAGGCTTTTATATACACCGTATTTTTCGGACTATAAGTCACACTTTTTTTCATGGTTTGTGTGGTCCTGCGAATTATACTTCACTGTGACTTATGTATTACATTTTTCCGCGAGAGGGCACTCTAGACTTGTGTGTCAGTATTTGTTACTCCTATTACTCCTGTGTCACTGTCACTTCACTCTACTGCGCATGTCTCCTGCAGAAAGAGCCTCTGTCCTGTCTGTATCATGTCAGTCGATTGCACCATTACTTCTGTACCACTGAAAATATTTAAAACTTAAACTTATTAAGGCGACTGAGAAGACTGAACACAAATGCCCCCAAAAAGAAAATCATATTTTACTCATCATTATGCATTTTTTGGCTGGTGCGACTTATTCTCCGGAGCAACTTAAATCCCAAAAAATACGTTACTCAATTTCTTTGCGGCTGCTAAAATAGGCAGCTCTCTGGCATTTTTGTTTTGTAAAAGTAGCTCACTGGAGGAAAAACGTTTGGAGACCCCTGTGCTAGATAGATAAGTTTAATGTTGGAATATTCCAGGCAAAGCAATAACATCTCCATGGAGACAAGCAGGGAGAAAAGTTTCGCAGTGCACCTTTAAGGAAAAGTACAGGGGCAAAACATACATTACATAAATAAAATTATCATATCAAAAACATCTACATAAGTAAAAGTGAATATCAAAATTGTACTTGTGAGTAAAAATGAACACAGCTTTTTTAAACTGTTAAACTGTGGTGATACTGTTAAAGACATTTCTTAATTTTCTAGTGAGTTTTATGTATATTTTCTTTCCTTAATATATGTTAATTGTTGCTTTTCAAAATCTTGTCTTCGTACCTAGTGGCAGAAAGATCCAGCGTGCAGAGCCGTGGCAGCTGAGACAGGAGGACAGCGATGCGGTGTGGAATGAACTGGCTTATCTGAAAAACCTCACCAGGAAACTCTCTCTGGAGAAGTAAGTCTCGTCTCTGCACTCACACATGAAAAGTGGACACTTGAATCTCAACTTTTATCTCATTAATTTGCTCACACACACACACACACACATACACGCACACGCACACTGGCTCTCCCACTGTCCCTTCTTGTTTGTGGGTGTTAAGATTTGAGAGTGTGCCCTTCCCAACTTCACAGCGTTCACCTAGCCCTCCACATCATTACCAGCCAGCAGGAGCCAAAGCAGGATCATTAGAAACTGTGCTCATTTGTAAAATTGGCCGCCCAGAAATTCACACATTAAAGTGCGGGCAGTAATATGGCATTATGAAAATTACTGGCTGGGTCTTTGTGGGAGAGGAGTCTGAGTCTAAAGTCACATCCATATCCAAAATATTATATAGAAACATGCCAAATGTCACAATTATTTCCAGTAACACACCATTTGAAAGCTTAATATTATAAAAGCAGTTAATTTGGACTCAGAAAAACATGTATAATAAATAAGACAAGCGGATTGAATCTAAAAACGTTTGATTCTTAAGGTTATAGTTACTTTTAAAGAAGACCTATTGTGCTTGTGTCTGCTACATAGTTTTAATCTATGACAACAGTGGATCATTGTTATAATTTGCACATTTTAAGTCGCAATATTCATCGAAAAACGACTTAATTAAAGAAACAAATCCGCTGATTTTCCTTGTTAGAAAACTGCGGTGCCCAACGGGAGCTGACGTCATCGTGTACGTCATCACAAGAAAGAGCTGTGCAGTTGTTGGCACCTCCGATGGATAGCTGTACATTACATCACGTTTTTTAATTCATTTGTACCAAAATGACTGCACAACGCTGCGGAATCCTACACGGATCACAGATTAATTGTTTTCGGTTTGAGAGAAGAACTAAATATGCTGGGTTTTTATGTAGTTTTAGCCAGGCTGGTGCCATCTACTGTGTCCATTCATATTAAGTCAGGAGTCGGAATTCAGTAGACGGCTCGCAAAAACCCCGGAAGTGCGAGTTCGGGCATCAACCAATTAACGAAGAGTCAAACTTTCTGTGTTGGCAACAATTCCCGAGATTGAGGATTTAAAGCCGGAACAAAGAGAATGTTTGGTGAATTTTATCAAGGGGAAAGACGTTATTGTCCTTCTTCCTACGGGATTTGGGGAAAAGCTTTCCGTATTTTCCGGGCTATTAGGAGCTCTGAATTATAAGGTGCACTGTCATTAAATGGTCTATTTTCAAACTTTTTTCACAAATAAACCGCACCGGACTTTAAACAAAACACAACAGTTGGATGGGTCAGTCAGACTTTGTTTGTGCCGTTCACGGTGACTCTGGGCTTTGTTCAGTTGTGGCGTGTAGGGAGGGTGCTGTCTGGGACCGCTGGATTGTCGCCGTGTTCGCAGTGACTCAGTTGTTCAGTTGTGTCTAGAAGTGGCACATTGCACTCGCTTTTTTGGTTCATTCCTCCGTTCCGTTCCTCGTCCGCGTGGAGTGAAGAGTGTGGCTGCGGGTGTTTTTCTCTGTAAGATTGCTGTCTGCTCCGTGTGTGTTTGCGTGCACTGCGGGTGGTGTGGCTTTGTAGTTTACTGAAGTCGTGCTGGGACACCTGAGTGGATTCGTGTATAGGGTGCTCTGGATTGCGGGTAGTTTTTTGGTGGGGTTGGAGGCTTAAGAGCGCGCCCAATAGCCCGGAAAATACGGTAATATATCAGTTAGCCCCATTAGCGGCGCATTATATACATCGCAACCTAATAGCAGCGATTTTTTAAATAAAAAAGTACCCGGCTGCCATCGAGCAAACGAATCCTCAGACGGTTTCTACAAAGTGAAACCGGCTGATGAATCAAAGTAGTGTTGAACATGTGTGAATGAAACAAAACAACTCCAGGTCTGTTTTTGATGAGGAAACAACATTAAAAACATAGATCAGAAAAAGCTATTTTCTTTTCAAACTACTAGTTGTCCATCACACTGTAACCAGTCCACCATATTACACTTGCTAAGTCGACTATCACTAACCCTTTACAAAACCACGTAGCTTCTCTTAAGTGAAAGGTGTGGTTCAGATTTGGGCTGAAGTTCCCAAGTTGTCCAAGTCGTGTCCAACATCGTCTTTGATCTGGAGGTATCCCGTGTAACCGTACTGCGCACTGACCCTCTGCGATCCGCCCACAAAGCCTGTCCTAAAGCCATAGTCCTCCTCTCTCCCATTTCCCCTCGCGTTCACCTCTCCTCACCTCTTTCCTCCTCCTCCGTCCCATACCCCTCTTCTCTTCTCCCTCCTCCTTTTCGTCTTCCCAGCTGCCCGCCTCTGGCCCTTTGCGGCGCTTTCACTTGGCCAGAATCCTGCTCCTTGCCACCGCCTCCCCCTCCGCCCCCTCTCTCCTGCGTTCCCCCCTCTGCTCTCACCCCCCTGCCCTGTCCTCCTAATCCCAGCTGAGCTCATTATGATATAGCCCGGCTGCCTCTCTCCAAGCCTGAGCTGTCCGAGCTAATTACAAGCCAGCAGCCGCAGTCCCGCCGTTGCTGCCTGTTAAGGGATGTCTGTCCGGATTGCTGGCTGGTCCGGGCCGAGACTCGGAGCAGCGCCGCAGGACCACGGCGTCTGGGGGGCGGGCGTGGGGGGGGGGGGGCGGGCTGTTCCGAACGCGAAGGGTCCTTGGAAGTGACCCGCGAGGAGGGTGCGGGTCGGGGGCAGAGCTCGCCGGCCTCTTACCTGGCCGTGTGAGTGGGGAGGTCCGCTGGGGTTTGCTCTGTAATCCCCTTCATGTGCCCCTGACCAGCTCCACCTCAGCTCCTCTCTCCTCGTCTCCAGAGGCCCGCTCCTTACGCAGATGGATAAAGCAAAGTAAACTCCGGATGGGTTCTTTAAACTTCTGAAAAAGTGTCAGTTTCAGGTATCTGCCCAGTGCCCATCTCTATTCCGCTGGCTTGTGGTAGTGTGCCTGTTCAGAGAGGCAAGAGGAATACAGAATGGTGAACTCTTTTATCTATTCTATCAAAATCAGACACTTTAAAGTTTCTGATTTTGTCTCTTTTTTTTTTGGAATATTTGTTCTGTATTTTCACACTTGATTGTACCGAGTCATTATGAACAGGGAGATGTAACAATAACTGAAATATCGAGATATCGTATCGTCAAAAGTCTCACAATAATATCGAGTGTTTTTACAATATATCAAATTATAAGTTCCTTTGCTTAAATGCATTGTTCTTTAGTAGGAAGAGCTAATAAACTTAAAAAACTACATATCCCATGATTCATTTCAGCGCAGACAACATGAAGGAATATGGTTTTTACTCGAATTCTTGGGATTCTGACAGTAATACTTTGCACCAAACTCTTGTCAAAGTATTTTAAAAGCAAAAGAGTATCCTGTTTAGAATTATATTTGCTAATCCAAAATATCGCAATAAATATCGTGAGATGCATATCGTGATAATATCGTACCGAGAGATTTGGATATCGTTACATCCCTCCTTTAAGAGATTTTTAAAAATGTTTTTTTCCCAATACATTTCATTTAGCTGTTATTTTGACTTGTTGAGAGTTGAGTTTTGTTTTTGTTTTTGTTTTAGTAATTTTTGAAGCATTACCTCTTTCTAAGGGACCCATATTACTCATTATTGTATTAAAAAGGCTCTTGAGTTCCTTTGCTTAGTTTTAGAACTTAAAAAAGAATGGCTTTGTAAAGTACCACACATTATTTTAAAGCTTGGGTGCTACTTTAGTGTAGGGCTCCCTCTACTGCTTGCAGAGGGAATTACCATGGGGTGAAAATCTAATGTCCAAATAAGGAACATGCCCTGACATTATAGTATAAGTATTCAGTATTAATGAACACAGTTTTACGGGGTCAGCCCTATGTTCCCTCATTTCTAAGATTTTTCTCAAAATGAAACTCTGAGTCAAGTCATTTTAATTTTTATCCCGCATTTTTAAAGAGATGATTCAGAGTCATTTCAAGCTAGAGTCCTTCGCACCATGACCTCTACTTTACATCTGTAGTCAACTGCTTTTGGAGAATAGGTTGGGTGTAATTGACTACTAAATTGGGTGAAATGGGTATAAAATCTGATGCAAATTGATGATAAAGGAAATGTGGAAACACAACGATAATGTTCAATTTTTTATGTATTCATAAGGTGGAGGCTTTAATATAAGCTCCTTTGGGTTTTTCGCCTCTTCTAGCACCTACTTTTTTAACTAGTGTGTTTTTTTATTGTTATGTTATACACGCAAAATAAATAAATAAATAAATAGCTCCTAATTTTGGGGGGAAAAAAACACCCTAGAAATGAGAACATAAGGCTGATGATTTACTTCGTTTCACTTTGTACAAACTGTCTGACCTCGCAGCATTAGATTTCGTTCGCTCGATAGTAGGTGTGTACTTTTTATCATTTAACCCATCGCTGCTATTTGGTCGTGACATATGTAAAGCGCCGCTGACGGGGTTAACTTTTATATTAAGCGTTTCCCAAATCCCGCAGGAAGAAGGACAATAAAGTCTTTACCCTTGATAAAATTCACCAAACATTCTCTTTATTTCGGCTTTAAATCCTCGATCTCAGGAATCGTTGACAACACAGAATATTTGGCTCTTTGCTGACTGGCTGGTGCCTGAAATCGCACTTCCAGGTTTTTTGGGAACCGTCTAGTGTAGTTTGATTCCTGACCTAGTTGCTGGAGAGAAATGAAATTGGGCGGAGGCACTAGGTCAGGAAGGGGGGTTTGTACCTATGACACAATAAGGGAAGACAGTGGACTTGTTTATTTTATTAAGTCGTTTAAGATTAATATTATGATTTAAAATGTCCAAATTATAACATAAACAATCCATGGGTGTTGTAGATTATAAATTGTAGCAGGCTCAAGCACAGTACGTGTTCTTTTAACCACTACATCACTGATAAGCTCCATTTACGAAGCGCTGCCAGTGTCCTGTCTTCAGCAGAAGCCCTGTCTTGGCTCATCTCCTCAGACAAAGCGCCGCTAATTGAAAAGTG